GTCATTTGACTGTTATGTACTATAATGCTGTATTTTGGGGATAGAGTGTAATGATAAAGAATCATGAAAAGCACGAGCATGTTACGCTAGTTTTGGTCCTTTGCTTAAGGTTACAAATGACTTTTTGTTAAGATTAATTGTATTTTTAATTATGTGTGCATGTGCATATGTGAGTGCCAAGTACCCATGGAGTCCAGAAGAGGCTAGTAGATCCCCCAGAGCTGGAGTTACAAGTGGTTGTGAGCCAGCCAACTCAGGCACTAAGAACTGAACTGAGTGCAACTTGGGTCCTCTGCAAGAGCAACAAGAGCTCTTAATTGCCTAGCCATCTCTCCAGCCCTCAAATAATTTTTTTTTAAAATGAAAATTTGGTGAACACTATCTCAATCTGGAGTAAGAGTATCCAAACTGAAAAGAATACATATAACGCATGCCATTTTAGTATTTCCAATCGTGGGGAATACTTCTGAGTTTGTCATAAAATCAAACTGTAAAAGACTTTATGCCTTTCAAATTATACTTTCAGATATATTTAATATGCCAAAATTCAAAAGAGATTATAAACTATTCTTTTTATAATGTTTATGTTCAAATTTTCCAGAGCAGAGTCAGTTTTAAGCTAAGCCCCAAGTCTGTATTCATTAATCCTAGCAGCTAATTCACCACATCATCTCCAAATTAAGCTAGAAAGAAGCCTAGTTTACAAACCACATCAGAGCAAACAACAGCAAAGCCTAGCAAATCAGGATGATTTTTCACCTAAACAACTGGAGACCAGCAACAACAAATAGCCTTATCTAGAGAGAGGTACAGCCTGGCTCACTTCTGTTGTCTTGGGTCTCTTGCGATATAGCATCTGTTTCAGATATTCATGGTTCAGTCAAAAGTATCCTAGGTTAGATGCTATACGGGCAACCTTTTATATTTGCTGTGCAATGGCATTTAACAGTTGGTTTGGGGAGCAGGGATCACTATCACAAATTTTGCTAACTTCTACTTACACAATACTCCTAAATTATAGAAAGCACTAGAATGGGCATGAGACATAGTGAGATAATTGTTTTGTTTTGTTTTTCTGTCCAAAGAGCAGAAATGTACATTATGTTTTATCTACTGTGCAATGAAAAGACCAGAATTGAGTGAGAAGACCTGTTGGAGTCCCAGTTCTGTAAATCTAGATAGTCCCTTAATCAGCATTCTCACTTAAGAAGTAATAGACACCAACTGATGCCTTAAGATCTAGCTCTGACTATTCACTAACTCTGTAACTTTAACCTCCAAATATACTTTCAAAAAGTGTAACAACTGGGGGCTAGAGGAATGACTCAGCAGTTAAAAGCACTGGCTGCTTTTCTAAAAGATCCAGGCTTGATTCACACGGCACCTCAGAACCATCCGTAACACCACTTCCAGGGGATCCAACTCCCTTTCCCTCTTCTGGACACCCATACATGCAAAAAAAAAAAAAAAAAAAAGTTTGTTTTGCATCAACTGAGTTGTAGTAGTTAATGGAGGGTTTCTGTCTCCCCTCTAAACTGTGACTGTAACTTATCATTGTTTCTCCTCACATAAATTTCTATTTCAATAAATTTCATTGGAGACTGGGTCAATCTCTCATTTACCCTAAATGCAGAACACCCCTCACTACTAATCTGCTTTGAAATCCCAGGTTCCACTTCCTCAGTAACTCATCTTCTCACCTCTCTCTACCAGCATGTACACACCTGGTCACAACTGCTAGGCTAGAAGAGTTTCCTATCACACTGGCATCTTACCATAAGGCAGGCAGAGGCCCCTTAGACCATCTAAATGTGTAAGTTCTCAGCCTGACATTCAAAGCCCTCCAGATAACATACCTTAAGAGAGTCTGATTAATTACTTGCTCTTTCTGCTAGACCAAATTCCTACATGCTTACTGGATTTGGAGTCTTCATTTCTTCTGTTCTAACATCCTCTCTGAACTTGGATTTGATTCCTAAGCTCCACTCCCATGGTAGTCACCCTCATCTAGACATCACAGCTCCCTCTTTTGAATGAAGTACATGGTACTGCAAAGTGAGACAATTCTAAAGGTCAAAAAGTGAATTTTAAATGCTAGCTAACCTAATGAGAAAAATGTCTGTTTTACCATTTTGCTTAACTGCCACTGGACACCTGGACTATCTTGGTAAGGGTTTGCCACTATCCCTGGAAAGAAGAATGGCAACACAGCTCTGACACACACAAAACAGAGCTTTCAAGCTGGACACACATATTGGGGTTTGCTGGGCTTCCATTATACAAAAAAAAGAGGCTTATATGAATTCATCATTTATATACTTAGGACTTTTCAAAACCTGAACCAAGATCTCTAACAGTCCTGCCCCCCATCCCCACCTTCTACCAGAGATGTTTGTCAGAATCTGAAAACACTCTGATCATTACAAACACTGAGTAGGGAGTACTCCTGGTAGATGCTGGACATCCTACACTACAAAGGACAGTCCTCAAATAATTTAATTAGCTGCTGTAAAATATAAGCAGTGTCCATAGTGAAAAGGTCCAAGATAAACATATCGCATGCGGCTGTAGGGTCTACTTTTGAAAAGAAATGTTCCAATTTTTCAAAGTGAAGCGTGTTACCTTCAGTAAGAGTTTAAACAGAGCATGAAGGCTGATGACTCCTGCAATTACCAGTGGTAAGACCTCCTGTAGTTACTCAACCTCTTTATACCTCAAACCTCTTATATGTAAAGCAAGGCTAAGAACCATTAATTCACCCAGCCTCTTGAGGGTAAGGAGGCATGCAAAGTCTTTGGATGAGTACAGCAAGCAGATGATGATTAGTTGTTAAGTTTACCCACATTCATCCCTCACTGGTTCCTAGAAAATGCTAAGTTTACTAGGATGAATACTACCTGCCACGGAGTCCTGAGTAGGGTACTAATAAAGATTGATTTTTTTTTTTTGTTTTTTTGTTTTCCCAATCAGGATTTCTCTGTAGCTTTGGGGCCTGTCTTGGAACTAGCTCTTGTAGACCAGGCTGTCTCTGCCTTCCGAGTGCTGGGATTAAAGGTTTGCACCACCACCACCAGGCAAAGATTGACACTTTTTACTTGAAGCATGTGTCCATCTAATCTAATCACCTCTTTCTCTACTCAAAGCACCTTAATTGCTCCCTTCTCACTGGACAGTGCTTTAAAAAAAATCTCAATATTTTTCTTTTTCACATTATATGATCAACTGAGGTGCTTCAAGCACATGGTGGACCACCATCCCCTTCTGACCCCTACATCACCTACCTTGTATTACCATTATTTATGCACATATTATAGTTTCCCCACCAGATTGTACATGCCTTCTATGGACAGTGACAGCAATGGATTCCTTTTTATGTAACCCAAGGGGCCTAAGAGACCTTAGCAACTGGATGGACCAAGCCTCTCATTTCATAGATTAGACAGAGAAAGGCCAATTGACTTGCCAAGAGTCAAGGTCATTTTAAGAGGCAGAGCTGGAATTCAAACTCTGATACAAGGCCAATAGAAGAGAGTCCAAGTTCTGCCCGATCATGATGAAGTAAAAACCATGCTTGTATTACAATGTTTACCTAAGGTCTAGGTACCCTCACAGAAACAAGACCTATGTGGCTGCCTGCCGAAACAAAAATGGAGGGAGAAAAAGACCCAACACCTACACTGTTACTAAAATTACACCTTAATAATTCAATCTATTTTGTTTGGCTGTGTATCTTATTATTTCTTTCCCAGTTTTTGACAACATAACTTGTTTAAGCATACAGATGACAGTTATTTAGCCACTGATAGCAGCTTTAATGTCCCTTTAAATGGTTCCGTAATTATTTAGAGTTCCAGAAAACCTCTCACTGGGTAAGCCAATCCTGTTCCTTTGCCAACAGAACAGATTCTTTAACAGTCACCCCAACAGATTAACATAAATTCAAAGAGCCAGAAATTTGGAATAATTTCTACATGGTGGAAAGTATTTGTGCAATTACAAGTGTGTTAATAACCCCAACATAAGCCTAGAACTTCCAACAAACAAACGTAAGTCATAAATGAAGCTGTTCAGATTGTATTAATCTCGAAGTTTCTCTGAGTCCAAATATGATGCAAAAGAAAAAAGTGAATAGGGAAGGGAAAGCCTGTTTTAAAATGGCTCTGAAAAAGGGTTAAGTATAGCACAATTCCCTGATGGTGAAGCAATTACAGCTCAATAAAACCAAACGTTTTCCAGAAATGCATCACTTGGGGGTGGGGGACAAGAAACAACCCTTTTCTTTGAGGTAGTATTTGATGCTTAAGTTACCAGTGAAAAAGCACTCAGAGCACTCAGGCCCAACAGAAGTGATAATCACTTACTGAGAACGATTTTTAATTACTTTCCCAGCTGATAAAAAGAGCACACACTGAACACAGACTAAAATGTAGTTTCAAAGAAAACAAAACGCAGTTTATGCTCGATGAAGTTCAAGGACAAAACTGTTTCCAATGCAACAGAATCCGCCTGACTACAATGTGCAGAGACAGAGAGGAAAAAAATGCGAACACATAGTATCTTTTTATAAAGGCAACAATTTAGCTACAAAGTAATAACGGGGAAGCCAAAACAGTTTGACAGCCCGCCATAAGGGCCGCCTCAATCATGAGTCACACAATGCCTGCAACCATTTACAATAGTAATTAATGCACAAGTCCCCTAATTAAATTCTAAAAGGGTGAGAATGCTTTAACTAAGTTTACAAGAACTGCCTTTTGCTTTTCTTTTTAAGAACGAACACACTCTTAATTACGCGTCTCCCTGCAATGCCCTCCCCCCCCCATGCAATATTCCCTGAGGACGTTTCTCCCGAATGTCTGTTCCCTGCGTGCGAAAGCAAATGACACGGGATGGGGGGGCGGGAGGGGTAGAGTCCGTAAACCCAGGAAGGGCGAAGCAGAAGCAGAGTAGAAACACACTATTATAAAGGGGGCGGGAGACTGAGGGCTCGCCCATCTTACCTGCTAAGATTTCTCTCTACGTCTTTGGTAGCTTTAGCTTCCAATTCTCTGAAATAGGAAACAAAAACAAAAAAAAAAAAAACGGGGGAGGGGGGATGCGCGTGAAAACAGAGCTTCTGCGGCAGAGCGCCCGCGCGGTGGGGGAGGGGCGGGGCTGCGGGCTGCAGCGCTGCGGGCCTCCGAGCCCAGGACGACCGAGCCCAGCGCCGCAGCCCGCGCGGGGCCGAAGCTTCCCAGGCCGCCCGCGGCCTCCCACCCAGGCCTGCGCACCCCGGGGACTGCCCCGTGCTACCGCCGCCCCGCAGCCCAAGGGGTCCTGCGGCAGCGCCGACGGCTGCCTCCCGACCCCGAGCGAGACTCCCCTCCGGTCCGCTCACCTCATGTGTGTAAAGTGCACGAGCGCGTGGGGCGCGGGGAACGAGGCTCGCGAGCCTCAAGCCCTCCGCAGCGCCGCGGGGACAGGCCCGAGCCGCTGCACCAGCGCCATTTTCTACACCGACCCGCTGCCGCCGCCGCCGCCGCCACCGCTGCCGCCGCAGGCCCCAGACCGGAAGTGAATGCCCTACTGGCAACCCCTTCCGGGGGCGCGGGGCTCGGAGCCCCAAGATGGAGGCCCTAGCAACTAGGCCTGCTGGACAGGGCAGACGCTTGGCAACGGCCCGACGCGGCCGGGACCTCACCGGAGCTGTCGGGGAACTCCGAGGCTCCCCGCAAATGTCTTCGGGGCCTGGCGACAGCAGACCGCAGCCTTTCTCGCCGAGGCCGGCTCGGGTTTGAGTCCGATCCTCCCCTCCTCCTTCTTTACTGCGACACAAGTTTCCTTCCCCTCTGCCCGGCCCCCCTCCCTCACAGAAACACGCCTTTAAAAAAAAAAAAATCCACCAAACCGCAAATTCCACCCTTGCTGCTGCCGGAGGAGCCCGCCCCGTTTTTAAATTCACCCACCTCTAATTACTTTTGACCTTGAGCCAGATTATTTAACCTCTCTGCTCGAGCCTCTCCTCAGGTGACGAACGCGTACCTGAGGCCGGTTGTGAGGTTTCTATACGATTTTACGCCTAAAATTTTACACACCCTTGACTCAGCAAATTCCACTTCCACTCATTTCTACTCAAGAAATAATCACTTGGGGGTATCGCTTTTAAGTACTTCATCGTCAAGATACTAACTCACGACACTGGGAAGGGTGAAAACTGTTAACTAGCTCCGAAGTCCGGCGACGTGAGATGGCATGAAAAGCATCCAGCCACTTGCGGCGGCAGGAAAAGGTGGAGTGGGAAAATACCGGCCGGAGGACTTGGTTACAATAAAAGAATGAAAAGGCAGATTCCAGACTAGTCCGCAGAAAAACATGTGAACACCTAATTGTGAATACTGTAAGATAAATACCCGTAAAGCATATAAATCTATATATAGATACAATAAGATACAGCAACATAAATCATGGAGCTATAATTAGTGCAATAATTGTAAAAAAGTACAATGTAGGCGCATACCTGAACGTAAATACAATAAGATGCAGACCTACAGGTAGATGAGGCAATATAAGGCGTTAAGTGCACATAGGTACATATATTCTTGTATATTAAGTGCACATAGGTATATATATTCTTGTATATTCGATGCACACAGGGCTTCTTGTGATTGCCATATTTCTCCTCTACTTAAAGCCTGTTCCCTTTTGCTTTCTCAGAAAACTCACTCTGCAGATTACTTCCTTTTGCTCTTTTCTGTCCTAAATCCTCCAACTGGCTTAGAGATGCTCCACTCTCTCCCATGAAACAAGCTATGTCACTGTCTGTTCTGTTCTGGGAGAAATGTGTGTTGTAGTAAATAAATAAATTAGTGTTTTTAATTTTATGAGCCTATAAACATTTTTTGAAAAAAATTATAAAATATAAAATGAAGAGTACCAAGTAAAGGCCAGTAAGCTTTGAGACGTGGGTCTGACTTACTATGTAGCCTGGTTAGCCTAGAACTCTCTATGTAGGCCAGACTGGCCTCAAACTCTCAGTGGTCTGCCTGCCTCTGTTTCCTGAATGCTAGTGCTTTACCATAAATCCCCAGCTTCAAAGTTAAATAGGACCTATCCTGGTTAGTTTCTTTGTTAAACTGACACAAACTGGAATCATCTAGGAAGAAGAACCCCGACAGAGTTTGCCTATAGGTGGATCTATCGGCATTTTCTTGATTGATGGGGGTGGAGAGGCTCAGCTCACTGTGGGTAGCACCATCCCTGGGCCTACAATCCCAGGCTGTATAAGAAAGTAAGCTACAGGTACTTGGGAGGCAGAGGAAGGTGGATATCCGTGAGTTTGAGGCCAGCCTGGTCTACAAAGCAAGTTCCAGGACAGTCAGGGCTATCATACAGAGAAACTCTGGGGGGAGGGAGGGAGTAGGGAAAAAAAAGTAGAAAAAAAGAAAGTGGGTTCCAAGCCATTGGGAGCAAGCCAGTAAGCACTCCTCCATGCCTCTGCTTCAGTTCCTGCCTTGAGTTCCTGCTCTGACTTCCCTGTATGATGAACTATAAACTGTGAGCTGAAACAAACCCTCTCCTCCCCAAGTTGCTTGTCATTGTGGTGTCCATCACAGTAATAAGAAGGCAAACTAAGACAGGGCCTTTCCTCTATTTATTCACTTGTCTTTCTGTTCAGTTCCTACGGTTGCTTCAGCACGAATTTTCTCCAATCTCTCATCCTTACCTTACTGAGAAGGCTAAATGACTGGACTAATAATTCACAAATTATGTATTTGGAAGGCAAGGATTAATTTTTCCTCTTTATCAAAAACCAAAATGGAGACTGCAGAAACAGCTCAATAGTGAAGAGCACTTGGTACTCTTCCAGAGGACCCAAGTTCAGTTCCCAACACCCATACCGTAGTTCACAACTGTCTGTAATTCTGGTTCCAGGACATCCATTGTCCTCTTCTGGCCTCTTCAGACATCAGGCACACATGTGGTGTACACACATATACACAAGCAAAACATTCATATATACAAATTTTTCTTTGCAATGCTCAGCATAGCAAAAATGTATGCTAAGTAGCACTATACCACTGAGCTACATCCCCAACCAATATTTTTAAATTGAGAAAGTCTTCACAGTAATGAAGAGAAAGAAGTTGAAAACATGAACATGGATAAGCTTTCCAGGAGAGAGTGTGTTTACATCATTAATTACAATTTCTTCAGTATTTAATGTGCTATCCCAAACTATTCTAAGTACTTTACAAATACTAATTAGTCACTAATTGTTGTCTTTCTACACCCAATGAGGTGGGAGTGTTAACACCCCTTTTACTAGCAGTTGTGATTAATTTTCCCAAAATCACGTAAGTAATAAGTGATTTAAGATTTTTTTGTTTTGTTTTGTTTTCGAGACAGGGTTTCTCTGTAGCTTTTAGAGCCTGTCCTAGAACTAGCTCTGTAGACCAGGCTGGCCTTGAACTCACAGAGATCCACCTTCCTCTGCCTCCCGCAGAGATTAAAGGTGTGTGCCAACACAGCCCGGTTGTGATTAAGATTTTATATGTGTGTGTATGTGTGTGTGTGTGTTTTACATGGATATAGTCTACCACGTTAGTGGCGCCAAATTGTTGTTGGAATGCTGCTCATTTGTTCCCAGACACTTAGACCCGAAATAATCATTCAGAAACTATATTATTTATAATACTGTTTGGCCAATAGCTTAAGCATATTGATAGCTAGCTCTCATATCCTAAACTAACCCATCTCCATTAATCTGTGCATCACCATGAAGTTATGGCCTACCGGCAAAGTTTTTGGCAGGCTCCTCTAGTGGAGGCTACGTGGCTTCTCCCTGATTCTGCCTACTCTCTCTGTACATCTCTTTCAGCCTGGCTTTACTCTGTTAAGCCATTGGCTGAAAGCAGCTTTACTCACCAATAGCAATAAAAACATATTCACAGCATACATCAACTCCCACATCATATATGTATGTGTGTGTGTGTATATATAGTTTGATTCTAAAGCCCCCTCCTAACCACTATATTGCAGATCTCAAATGCATTAGACCTAACATATTTTTTGATGATACTTTATAACTACAACCTTTTGCCACCCAAAAATGATGATCACAGATAATATAATCTATCAACCAAACACAATCATTTTAAATATATACATATGTGTATACATACATATGCTGTAAAGGAGACAGAGTAACTGAAAGGAAATCAAATGTCACTCAGTCTGTAAATGCTCTGAGGACTCCATGGAGGAACTGTGCCCCACACAAAGACTGACATGGCAGAGGCTAGTCAATTACACCTCAAAGACCGAAATTACACTGCACACACCATAGCTCTAGAACAGACAAGTCCTGAGCAAACAGAAAATAAATTCACTTATATAGTGAGTGCAGTTTTGCTTTTGTGTTTAGATAGGTTCTCACTATGCAGACAAGGTTGGCCTCCAGCTCACCAAGATCCCCCCCTGACTCTGCTTCCTGAGTGCTGAGATTAAAGGGACATGCCACCACACCTGGCTTTCTTATGAACTTTAAATCACCTCTGAAGTATTTATAATACCCAGTACAAAGTGAATATCCACAAAGAGTTACTAAACTGTATTACTAAGGAAATAATAACAGAAGTCTGTGAGTACCCGGGACTGACGCAACGTTGTCATAAGTACTTTCTATGTGCAACTGATTGAAGCTGAAGATGTGGACCCCAGCTAGAGACTTCATTAATGAACATTCCTATGATACCATAAAAGAGCCAAGGAATGCACCCTGAGAAAGCCTGATACTCCAGTGATAGAATTATCAAGACGGGAGGGGGAAACAGGGTAAGCATGTTGTAATGGAGTCAAGTGGCAGGCCAATAGGAAAAGGACCAGTCCATAAGCTGTCCCAACTAGAGACCTAAAAATTAATTTTAACACCACCACCCCCTTCTTTCAATGCAACTGCAGGACATTTTATTTTGGAAATATTCTCTTCGTTTTTTCTTCCTCTCTTTTCTCACTGACACCCCCTCCAGCACACCCTGAAAACTCCAGTGTCCCTTTCTCAATCCCTTTTTTCTTCTTTTTTCCTTATGGTGCTATGCTTTCCACAAAACATGATTCACCCATTTAAAGGGGAAACCCTCATGTATTATGACAAAGGTATTCATGTAACCACAACCACAATCAATATAAAAGGGTTCTGTCACTCAAGAAAATTCCCTTGTGCCTCTTCTCAGTCCCTTTCTCCCATCCTCTCCCATACACTGAGCACCTAAAAACTACTTCTACAGTTTACATCTCCACAAATCAGTACTCTCATTCTGGAAGCTCATATAATGGAGTCACGCCCTATATACCCTTTTCCGTCTGATTTCTCTAGCTGAACAAATCGAAGATTTATTTATATGCTCTGTGTGCCAAATTTGTTTCTTTTTTGTGGGTAATATCCATTGAATAGATATACCAAAACTTGCTTGCCAGTCCTTCTATTGATCAGTTATTGCTTCTAGTTAGGGACTATTACTATTACACAGTGGACATCTGTGGAACAATTTCATCTGAATTCAAACATTCCCTCCTGGAGGGAGGAAGAAAACTCTCACAAGTTTGGGAAATGCTGAAACCGGTCAAGTTCACAAGGTTACCCTCCAAGGTCCTATCAGCAATGAACAATTGCCAGGGAGAAAAGACTGTAACTGAAGGAGTTTCATGTGTTCATTCTGAAAGCTTCCAGGTGCAGCTTTCCTGAGCGGTTATCCAGGGTGAGGTGAGCTTATCAGTGATGCAGTGGCCTTTGC